CATACAGAATAGTTTCACTGTCTGAAAGATCCTCTGTGTGTGCCTGTTCATCCCTTCCACCCCACTAACTCCTGGCAACCACTGATACTTATACTGTCTCCATAGTTTTGCCTCCAGAATGTCATACAGATAGAGTCATATAGTATGTAGCCTTCTCATATTGGATTCTCCCGCTTAGTAATATGCATTTAAGTTTCAACCATGTTTTTTCATGGCTTGATAGTTCATTCTTTTTTTTTTTTTTTTAGCACTGAATAATATTCCATTGTCTGGAGATACTGCAGTTTAGATATCCATTCATTTACTAAAGAACAGCTTGGTCACCTTCAAGATTTGGCAGTTATGAATAAAGCTGCTATTCACATTTGCATGCAGGATTTTATTTGGACATAACTTTTCAGTTTGTTTGGGTAAATACCCAGGAGTGTGATTACTAGATCTTATGGTAAGATATGTTTATGTTTGTAAGAAATTGCCAAACTGTCTTCCAAAGTGGACATCCAGATGATAAAAATGAATCTAGATATTTTGCGTTTCCTGTACAATTATGTATTGTCCACTAGCAATGGATGAGAGTTTGTTACTCCACATTTTTACCAGCATTTGTTTTTAGTGTTTTTGATTTTGGCCATTCTAATAGGTGTGTAGTGGTATGTTTTTCTTGTTTTAACTTGAAATTCCCCAATGACATGAGACTGAACAGTTTTTCATAAGCTTACTTGTCATCTTTTTATCTTTGGTGTGAGGTATCTGTTCAGGTATTTCACCTATTTTATAATCGGGTTGTTCATTTTCTTGAGTTTCAATAGTTTATTGTATATTTTAGATAACAGTTCTTTATCAGATATATCTTTTACAAATATCTTCTCCAAGACTGTTGCCTGTCTTCTTATTCTCTCGACATTGTCTTGCAGCGCAAAAAAATCTAGGCCAGTTACAGATGTGGAAGTTAAGAGCATATTGGTGCCATTGGGAGCCATAAAACTGCATAAGATAACAAAACAGTTTATTTAGGTCTTAGCTCTGGAGGACTGGCAGTATTTAAAGCTTAGAGAGATAAGAAATAGGAATAGAGAGTGAGAAAGGGGTCAGGAAATGTAGGAAAACTAATAATGTTATTCTAGGGATGAAAGAGAACATGTATCAAGGAGGATGTGGTTGACTGTGTCAAATGTTGCTGGACCAGTCAAATAATATGAAGATTCAGAAATGATCATTGGGTCTAGTGATTAGGTAGATCATTGGTGACCTTGGATAAGAGCTGTTTTAGTGGAGTAATGGGAGGAAATGCCTGTTTGGTAGAGTTCAAACAACAATGGAGGAGAGAAATTGAAGATAGCCGGTGTAGATAAGACTTCCAAGGAGTTTTGCTGTAAAGGAAAGATGATTGAGATGGAAGCTGGAAGGGATAGAGTAATAGAGATTTAAAAATGATAATAATAAAGTTGGGAGAAACAGCATTGTTGGATTCTTGTTGGCATCACTCACCAGAGAAGGAAAAATGAATGATTCAAGACATTGGAAAGAGGCAGAGACAGAGTTTATGTCAGTCATTTGCTAACCTGTAATGTGGTTTCTTTAAAATAGAGTGGACTCAGTCCTGCAGCTGTTCATGTCTTTTCCTGACTCCTTCCCCTCTCATTCCGTGTTTTCACTAACAGATGGTACGTTTATGAGACTGAGAAGAGGCCCCTTACTCCAGACAGGTAGCAAGCACTGCCTGGATTTTAGGATTGGATTTTTAGCCCTTAACTTGCCTTAAGCTAGGTGTCTTTGGGTATATAGCAAAGTAATCACAATACTATAGCTTCTCTGTTTAGTCTAATCTAAGACAATAGGAAAAGTTATTTACTATCCTGCTGTAATAGTTAAAAGTACACTTTGTCCTATTGAGACCGGTTCCTGTCGCAGGGGAGACTCAGCTCCCCAGAGGATGTGTTCTTACTCGTGGTCCCTCACTTACCCAAGAATGGGAGGGAGGGACTCTCCTCCCCCACCCACACACACCGCACGGTGAGCAATTGAGTAAATATCGGACCCCAAAAAGTTTTTCAAAAAGTGATTTATTTAGCGAGAGAGAGAAGAGAAAGAGAAAGAAAGGGAGAGAGGGGAGAGGGGGGGAGAGGGGAGAGAGGGGAGAAAGAGCACGCATGAGAGCTCCCACGAGGTCGTGGGAGGGGATCCAGATACCGGCCTGGAAGAGATAGAGGGGAACTTTTAACCCGGGAGTAATTCCCACCCCATTTAAGTTTTCTGATCTATGAAAGGAGTTCCTTTTAACTTCTGCCTGAGTGATTGATCTTTGATTTCTTCCTGCGGGCACAAAAGTTAAAGACCTCTAAGATCCCGGATGGAGACGTGGGTGGAGGTATGGCGCTGAGAAGTTCTTGCCTTTGAAACTACTCCCCCTTGTGGATGGGGAGTAAGAGAATACATTCCGTCACTATGGCAAATAGTATGTTACGTGAGAAGAGAGCACATTTAAGAACTAAGAATTACGCCTGTAATCCCAGCACTTTGGGAGGCCGAGGCGGGTGGATCACGAGGTCAAGAGATGGAGACTATCCTGGTCAACATGGTGAAACCCCGTCTCTACTAAAAATACAAAAAACTAGCTGGGCATGGTGGCGCGTGCCTGTAATCCCAGCTACTCAGGAGCCCGAGGCAGGAGAATTGCCTGTACCCAGGAGGCGGAGGTTGCGGTGAGCCGAGATTTAGCTATTGCACTCCAGCCTGGGTAACAAGAGCGCAGCTCCATCTCAAAAAAAAAAAAAAAAAAAAAAGAACTAAGAATTGGGTGTGGAGAATCCAAGCTCTTCTACCAACTGGCAGTAAAATGAATTTGAGAAGAGTTTAAGGCATATTAGATTGACCTTACCAAAAAGTAATTGTGAGTTTAGATTTTATTTGAACTATCTCTCATTTGTATTTTATAAAGTGATGGTGTTGAGCACATTGCACCAAAATGTGACTAAGACTTAGTAGCACCTAGGACTCAGATCTTGGTTTTTCTGACAACATTCCCACAGAAAGGAACCCGGGCTCTTTGGAGAAATGCTGCTTCTAAGGATGGGATTCTTTATGATAAAAGGAAGGAAATGCTTAAAAAAAAAAAAAAAAGGCCGGGCGCGGTGGCTCACGCCTGTAATCCCATCACTTTGGGAGGCCGAGGCGGGTGGATCACGAGGTCAAGAGATCGAGACCATCCTGGTCAACATGGTGAAACCCCGTCTCTACTAAAAATACAAAAAATTAGCTGGACATGGTGGCGCGTGCCTGTAATCCCAACTACTCAGGAGGCTGAGGCAGGAGAATTGCCTGAACCCAGGAGGTGGAGGTTGGGTGAGCCGAGATCGCGCCATTGCACTCCAGCCTGGGTAACAAGAGCGAAACTCCGTCTCAAAAAAAAAAAGATGCTAGCATATTGCAAGGATATAGGAGTCATTTTGAAAGTGTTCCCCATTGGCCAAATCTACGATAATTTAGGCATCAAAATAATTAAAGACAGTAATGACTTATAAAGCATTGGGAAAAAATGAGACCATACCAATAACACTTCTATATGTACAGTCAGGAGAAAGGTCTCAAGGGGTAACTATTAAGTATAGAGAAAGTTCTAGAAATGAACAATCATGATTTTGTTGCTATAACAGAATACCTGAGACTGAGTAGGTTATAAGGGAAAGAGGTTTATTCGGTTCACTTGAAGGGCATCTGTCTACATCTGGTGAGGGCCTCAGGCTGCTTCAGTTCACAGTGGAAAGGCAAGCATCATGTGCAAAGAGATCATAGCAAGAGAGGAAGCAAGAGAGAGAAACTAAGGAAAGCCAGACTCTTTTTAACAACGAGTTCTCTTGGGTACTAATTCGTTCTTGCTAGAGTGAGTACTCATCCCAGAGGGAAGGCATTAATTTATTCATGAAGGATCTACCCCTCTGACCCAGATACCTCCCCGCGTTGCCACATTTGGAGGTCAGATTTTAGCATTAGTTTTAGCAGGGACAAATCAAATCGTAGCAATCACAAATGGATACTAAATATTGGGAAGAAATTTTAATGAGAAGCAGGATATTTGCCAGGTCTTAAAGTGTCTGCCCAAAGATTACTATTGGTTGCAGGGAAAAGATAGTAACTAAGCAGTAGGAAAATTGGATAGCACTTTGTCTGGATGATGAAATTTAACATTACCAATGAGTTACAGGTAGGTAGATGCTGTGTGCCTCCAAATGTGAGACCATGAGGATATATCACTTACATATTATTTCAGCCAGAAATGCATTACATGAATCTAATCATGAGGAAACATCAGGCAAGCTCAAAATGGTGAACATTTTTTTTTTAAAAAGACTAGATTCTGCAAAAAATGTTAATGTTATAAAATTTAAAGAAAGGTGGAAAGGACCCATATTAAAGGAGAATAAAGACACAGGAAATACATGGTTCCAAGACTGAGTCCTGTGTTTGGAGAAAAATTAATTTTTAAAGGGCATTACAGAATCAGTTGACAACATTATAAATATATACAAATTGTAGTTTAAAGAATTCTATTAATGTATTTGCTGAAATTGTAACTGTGTTGTGATTTATAGGAGATTATTTTTAGGAAATGCACACTGAAGTATTTATGGGGAAAAGGCCATGATATGTGTAACTTTCAAATGACTCAGAAGAAAGCATGTCTCTGTGCACGCTTGCAGGGTTAGAGGGGTGCATGTTACAGTGGGAGAGAGGAGCAAAAGGGGCAGAATGCTAATGGAGACTGGGCAAAGTTATACCAACTTTCTGTGTACTTTTCTTGAGTTTCCTTTGTAAATTTGTAAATTTTTCAAATAAGTTCATACACATACGCATGTGCAAACACATTGGGGCTTATTTCTTTTATGCTTATTTCACTTACTGCTCTAGCGTTGCTAATTTACCTTTAATACTCACCTGGTTTTATTATATTAACATGCATTGCTAATATATGTACATACTGATTTTTAATTTTTTTTAAATAGTGCTGGGCCTAAAGGAGATAACATTTATGAATGGAGATCAACTATACTTGGTCCACCGGGTTCTGTATATGAAGGTGGTGTGTTTTTTCTGGATATCACATTTTCATCAGATTATCCATTTAAGCCACCAAAGGTAAGAAGCTAGAAGTGCATTCTTTAATATTTATTCTTCTTCAAAATTGGTTATTCTAGAATTTAAATGTGTGTTGATGCAGTTATTTTGATTTCGTTGTTTTTCATGGATTGATATGGAAACTTTCACGTAATCAAGAATTTTAAAACTGAAAGTAACTGACTCCTTTCACAAATAATTTGTAATCAACAGACAGTTTAATTCTTAATTGTAAATAAAACTATACCTTGCACATCAGTAAAGCAGGTAAATTTTATACTTAGAGAAAATATCCTATGAACCTTCATTAATACCTTCATTAATAATACCTTAATTAACTAACTTAATTAACTATTAAGGTATTATTAATGAAGGTATTAATGAAGGTTCATAGGGTATTTTCTCTCATAAGTATAAAATTTCCCTTATAAGTATAAAAATACCTTAATATTTAATTAAGGTATTATTAATGAAGGTATTTATTAGGATAAAAAGTAAAACTGTTTGACAGCTTCCAGAAGGGTTTAATGTGAATTTTGTGCTGAATATCTTATCTTTATAGATAAGCAAAAACTTCAAGCCAAGAAGAGGGAAACTAATAATATTTAGTAAACTCATTTTGTACCCTCTGTGAGTATGATGTAGTAATGGAAACAGAGTGCCTGAGTACCTTCTGTCTCTGTTGGCTCTGAATTCATTGGAAGTATGAATTAGGTGGATAACAGAGAATGGGGTGAGTTGTGCTTTGTAATGACCTTCAACTTTGCAAAGCTTAAATGTAACAATTACTTGAATGGCTTCCTCCCCTAACTTCTGTTTCTACAGTGGTCAAGCCAGCAGGTAAAAACCACTGGAATTAAGCATGGAGTATTATTATGCTCCTGATACAGAGATGTCTGACATACAGGGGAAAGTGTATTTTCAAGTCCGTAGCCCTTAACGGTGGTAAAATGTTGTTCTTTTCAACATGGTAACTTTTGTTCTCTCTATATTTTTAAAATTTATATTGCAATTTATAACATTTAAAATTATGTAGCCTGTGTGTATGTATGTATGTGCACAAAAAGGATATATTTTGTGAATAAAAGATGATTATTTCTCAAGAAGGTATTGTCTAACAAGGTAACAACAGTTCCATCTAGTGGTAGTTACCCCAAATCGCAGACAGCAAGGTCCCTTAAAACCTGGAGGTATTTACTATGTTACAGCTGTTATTGTGTAAAGTGCTTTACTGTGTGGTCCCATCAGAATCTAAGATCTTGAAATTCTTTTTGCATATGGCAGAAGATTAATTACAAAAGACAACTCTTAAGTTTTTCTGGACACCTTTTAATGGAAATTGACTAATATAAGAATTTCACACTACAGTACTGTATATGATTACCAGTAATTTTGATTAATCTACTGGTTATTTATAAATTTAGCATGTTTTCTGCTGAAATTGCAATATGTGAATTTTCTAATTCTGTAGTGTTGGTTCACTGTGTTGCTAAGATATATAGTATTAAGCATTTTTAAGATCTATAGTTGGACAAGTGAAAAATAAGATTTCTGGTATGATTGTGGTGTTTGAAACAATTATTTCTCTATAGTGCTAAATATTTTTGAAGTTTGGAAAATGTTGAACTTCTTGAAGGATAAAAATTTAATAGAAATCTGTTCATGAATGCTATTCTGTTCACTAGTTATAGCTGAAAATATTATATTTATAAATCACATGTGTATTGAGTAGTCATGTCAGTGATCTGAACATACATTATTTCTATATTCCAGGGCAGCCTTAATGGAAATATTGTAAAATCTACATGTATAATTTTAAATTTTCTAGTAGCCACATTAAGTTAAAAGAAATAGGGAATTTTAATAATATATTATTTACCTAACAGATTCAAAATATTGTCATTTTAACATGTAATCAATGTAAGAGTATTATTAATGAAATCTTATACATTTTCTTCTTGGTACTAACTCTTTGAAATTTGGTATTTATTTTACACTTTTAGTTCATCTCAATTCACCTCACCACAATTTAAGAGTAGTATATTCACAAGTAACTAGTATATGCTGTATTGGTCAGAGCAGTTCTAGAGGGGCTTACTCTCCTCCTTTTCTGCTAAACTAGTGTGTTGCTCCCCACTCCTTGCCATCATGCATTCTTTTCAGAAAGACATTTTTGAGAGCATTTAATGTTTTCTTCCCAGATTCTGCTTCTGCATTCACAGTACACTGCTAGTGTCAAGTGATCAGAAATTGTCTGTTTTTTTCTTCGGCAACTCCCAGTTACGAATTAACTACCCAGTTAGTGTTTGTGATTATTTTGGGACTTGGTAGTGTTTGTTCTTATGATTTATCTTCTTTTCTCACACATTTCAGGGATATATTAGTTTCCTTTATTCACTAGCTAAAAACCTTGCTTATTTTATTTTAATAATTTAGTCTATCTAACAAGACAGTCAACCAGCTATAGAAATGAAAGGCTAAGAAACAGAAAGGCAGGTAGTGTAAATGATTTTACTAACCTTCTTCTGAATCCTCCAATATTTTCTAATGTTTGGTAAGAAATTAGCTGAGTTGATACTGATCTTTTATACTAAGAAACTGATGTAACTTTTATCTTTTAAAAAAATCATCATCAGTTTCTCTTACCTTTGGCACCAAAATATTTCTCTCCTTCCTCACTTTCTGTCTTTCTGTATGTGTATGTACACACACAGTTGTTTATGATGTGGGTGTGTATGCTAACACACATACCAACACACATAAATAGAATTACTGTATCAGCTATTTAAGTGTAACTGATCAGTTCCTCACTTTAGTTCTTTCTGTACAGAGTAAAAACAGACAAACTTTTCTCAACTGAGTCAAATAAAATCATTTAATTTTGTTATTAAACCTAATCTAAGATTAGCTCATAATCAGTGATACATTACCCTTCATTATTTTTTTTAGTGTTTTAGTTGTTAATAAAACATTGATTTTCCTTCTGTTTTTAATGTGACTGTGCTTAGGTTACTTTCCGCACCAGGATCTATCACTGCAACATCAACAGTCAGGGAGTCATCTGTCTGGACATCCTTAAAGACAACTGGAGTCCCGCTTTGACTATTTCAAAGGTTTTGCTGTCTATTTGTTCCCTTTTGACAGACTGCAACCCTGGTAAGCAAATATTTATTGACACATATACTAAGACTACAAAAACCAGTGCATTCTTTTTTTTTTTTAGTTAGCTTTAAATGTAGATTGAGAGGTAAATGCTATTGATAGAAAGATCAGCATAAAACATTTTGTGAGGGAATTACCAATGCAATTCCAAGTAGACTAGGCCAAAAGTTTCTCAATACCCTCATTTAATTTGTTAATAGCGTGGTACTCTGTAATTATTTTGTTACCATAATTAATGGAATCTCTACTTTTAAAATTATGTAGGTGCACAGACCACGTCTAACAAGAGTGAAGCAATATCTCTGACACCGATGCCTCCTTTTCCTGCTTCTTCCATGCTGCCATATGCTTTTAGGCAACTACGTTGATAATGGAGGGCTTCTTACTCGCCCTTCCTTTTTGAATTAGTTATAATAGACATAGTAGTAATGGATATTATAATGATAGCCAGTGAGACTTGAACTAGATTATGATTATATCAACTCAGAGATAAAATCATTTGTATGTAATTCATAACTCTAAAAAATGCCTAACTGCCACATGTGAACTTTAGAAACTTGGGTAACTGACTTGATAAAGCAATGTTTAGATCTGAAATTTCACACACATTTTATTTCATTATGTGGCCATTTTTTTTAAGTCCACTTCCTTTTTCTAAATATTTGATAAGGCACTAAAGACTGTTACAGTTGTTACCTTGTGCTCAGCAGAGATACATATGCAATAGATAGAGATGGATATTCATTGTGGTATCATTTATTAAAGCAGAGTATTGGAAATAACCTCAATGCCCATTAATAGTTGTAGCATTATAAAAGAATGTGACAACTGTATATGAACTAATAGGAAAATATCTTCAAGATATATTAAATATAAAAAGCACTGGAAAAAATACATGAGACATGGTGGCTCATGCCTGTCATCCCAGCACTTTCGAAGGCTGAGGTGGGAGGATCACAAAGTCAGGAGTTCGAGACCAGCCTGGCCAACATAGTGAAACCCCATCTCTGCTAAATACAGAAAAATTAGCTGGACATGATGGTGGGCACCTGTATTCCCACCATCAGTAGAATATACTGATTCTACTCTGCTACTTGGGGGGCCAAGGCAGGAGAATCGCTTGAACCCAGGAGGCAGAGGTTGCAGTGACGACCTTGCCATTACACTCCAGTCTGGACTACAGAGCGAGACTCTGTCTCAAAAAAAAAAGAAAATGCATATACACAACATAATATTCTAACTGCTTGTCAATGCATGTAAGAACTCTGGAAAGTAATGTTGTAACAATTGTTTTCTGGGGGAAAGAAAATTCTGGATAGTTGAAGTCAGGAAGGAAGAGTTTCTTTTTAGTGGCTAATTAAAATATTGTACCATATGTACATATTTTTTTCTTTTTAAAAATAAAAACTTATATCAGGTTCACTCTCTAGTTCAGAATTCTACTTAAAACAAAATGGCAAGTAAGTTTTCAAGTGGAACTGTGGATAGTGATTAGAGTCATATTGGGCACAGATTGAAGGAAGCATTTTATTTGAAGTAGCATTATATTGTAAGATTGGGGTTTTATCTAAAAATTACCATTTTCAACATTTCACAAGCAGAAATATAACCACCTAGCATACTTCCATTGTTGAATGAAAGGCCAAAATTATAAAATAGTTTTTGTTTATTGAAGACATATCTTTTATAAAAATCAAATCTAGCTATACAGCTCAAAATTAATTTTTTTTTTTTTGGCTGAAGAGGGTATTCCTAACTTGAATATTAAAATATACATATGATCATATTACTTTAAACTTTTGCTTTTGAAAATCTAGCTATAACGTGAAGATACTGCTGAAAAATAAGCATTTCATTTTAGTAGACTATTAGAACTATACTTTGAAGAAGATACCACAAAATAGCTTTTAATGTTCTTTCCACTTTTCCAGCGGATCCTCTGGTTGGAAGCATAGCCACTCAGTATTTGACCAACAGAGCAGAACACGACAGGATAGCCAGACAGTGGACCAAGAGATACGCAACATAATTCACATAATTTGTATGCAGTGTGAAGGAGCAGAAGGCATCTTCTCACTGTGCTGCAAATCTTTATAGCCTTTACAATACGGACTTCTGTGTATATGTTATACTGATTCTACTCTGCTTTTATCCTTTGGAGCCTGGGAGACTCCCCAAAAAGGTAAATGCTATCAAGAGTAGAACTTTGTAGCTGTAGATTAGTTATGTTTAAAACGCCTACTTGCAAGTCTTGCTTCTTTGGGATATCAAAATGTATTTTGTGATGTACTAAGGATACTGGTCCTGAAGTCTACCAAATATTATAGTGCATTTTAGCCTAATTCATTATCTGTATGAAGTTATAAAAGTAGCTGTAGATGACTAGGAATTGTCATTTGTATTAAATCCAGATCTGAGTATGTGGTTCATGCTGTTGTGAAAAATGTTTTACCTTTTACCTTTGTCAGTTTGTAATGAGAGGATTTCCTTTTACCCTTTGTAGCTCAGAGAGCACCTGATGTATCATCTCAAACACAATAAACATGCTCCTGAAGGCATAGTTTCCTGTCGTAATATTTTAAGTCAGTCTTTTTAGAAGGTGTGTCTGAGATGATTGTTGATGAAATAAAAATATGGCTATGAAGATTGACTACTGAAGACTAGCACATATAAACCAATTCTTAAATTGAAAACATTTAAAATCTTATTAAATGCATTTTATTGAAAGAATGACCTTAAATATTCAAAAATGGATTTTAACTCATTAGTCTTAAACGCATAAAACTGTACTTTGATAATACGATGTTTAAGCCAAAAAGAACATGTAATCCTGGTTCACTCACTTAGGAGTCTGGTAATGTCTTATGGAACATGTTGCTTCCAAATTGGTGTTTTTTGTTCAGCATTGGGCAGTATTGTCAGATGGTAACTTTGATGTGGTAGCTAGTTTATGGTGTACTTTTTACTTCTAATCCTGGTCTTGAATTTTCGTGGTATGTGTATAACCATTCTTACTATGGCAAGTAGCCAGCAAATATAGCCAGAGGCAGAGTCGAACAGAGAAATCTTTGTCTGCCTTGAGGGTAGAATAGAACTGTGTTAGTGTACAGATGTGGTATTATTTCTCAATGGATAAAATGCCAAATTGTAAGATGTTTTAGAGGTTAAATTTCTTCTTCCTAGTTGCAATTGTAAAGTGTTAGGTTTTTGGAAAGTTAGAATTACTTCGCAATATTTAGATTTGCTAAACAGAGTATAATTGTATATGGTTTTCTTTGTTTTGTTTCCCTCTGACTAAGGTAATTATCTCTGGTCATATAGCCAAGGTTGTGGTATATGGGGCAAGTGTCTTCTCCAGTCAGTCTTCAATATGGAAATGAAGTATCATCTTAAAATGTATAGAGTGAAAATATTAACATAAAAATTGCTTTAAGATAAGTGAAACATGTATGCATCACTAGAAATAGACTCCTACTTGAATGTTTGTCAGAAGTCTTAGAGTAAAATTAAAATTACACTTATATATCTCTTTTTCACTTAAACTTCCCTCCCAACATTATTGCAGAGGAACACCATACAAAGGAGCTATTTTAAATACTTCAGACTTTACATCTATGAAAACCTGACTAATATATAATGGAGTCCAAGTCAATGTGATACAAGTGGAGACCTTTTATTAAGCTGTAAGGTTTTTTTTTATCAACCATGGGTGAGCTGTGGAAAGTAGTTTTTCCTTCACTGCCAAAATTGTACATTCTACATCCTAAAGTAATAAACTTCTCTCTTGGTGCTAGAAAAACTTTTATCATACTGAATGTTAGGATGTTTAGGGATGCTATGATTAGCCTTCCTTAAGTTACCATGAGCCTGATTACCACCACCAACCTATTTTGCTGACTTGTAGGCTGTGTCTATACTGGTTTGGGATAAAGTGGAGGGACTTGGTTACTTAAAATATTTGCAGCTCTTTCACAAACTACCATTGTGGCCTTAAATAAGACACTTTAACTCTTTGAATTTTAGTTTGTTTATACAGAAGAGTCAATTTGATCATTTCCCTCTTCTCTATTAGCCCTCAAGCTCAATTATTTTAATCTTGTAAATTTTTCTTGCTCTTGTCCTGCTTTCTCTAGAGGGAACAGGCTACTCTTTGAAACGGACTAATAGTATCTTAGTGTTCTAATTGATAGATGAACCTCTGACATGAGAGCCACTGCATGCCAGGGCACTGTTCAGTCACAGATGTGCCTTACCTCATTGGAGACACCTAAAGAGCTTTAGGAGAGCAGACACTGATGATCATCAGTTGACAGCTGGCAGTGTGTGTAGACAGGTTTAAATAACTTGATATTACACAGGCAATACAATACTCCCTCTCCCCCTGCACCTCCATTCTTTCCCACTAGGCAAAGAGCTTTTGTTTTTGATGTCACAACTTTATATTTAACACGTGCACCCAGACACACACACACACACGTTATTACTGTTCCCTATAAAAGTAGATATTCGTAGATGATAACTTCTGGAAATTATAAAGTACAGAATTGCATTTTAGCAAGTCTTTGTTTTAATATTTTATTTCAGTCTCAAGTGGAACCTTACAAAATATGACTGTTTGCAGTAAATTTGAGATAGGTAGGTTTGTATTCTCCCTTAGTCATTTGTCATAGGAATACTTTTAACATCACTGATTTCCCTTTATTAATTTGGAAAATGAGATAAACAATGTTATTTTAAACTTATTTAACCATGTATTGTATAACCACATCAGAAAATTTATTTTGATAAGTAAAGCAAGCATTTAATGGAATACCTTTTTCAAAACGGCTGTTTTAGTTATCTAGACATTGCCTTTTTTTAATAAGGAAATTTTAATTAATCACAGGAATAAAATTCATGTGATGCTTACAATTTGACCATGTGTATGCCACTCTTTCTAATACAAAATTTAAGGTATTGTTTTCTGATGCGTACTTAAAGAACTCGTCGTTAGCCCCACTAACTTGTCCAGCTGTTCTTACAACCATAAGAATATGACTGTACAGTAAAATTTAAGTCAGTATCAGTCCTGTGAATTTAGATAGTAACCTGCATTATAATGATATAAGTGTAGTACATTAACACATTTTTGTTAACATTTACATTGTGGTCTTTGGACAGAATTATGGCATGATGTGAAACATCAATTATTTTTCTCAAATTTTTATAAATTGTCTTAAGAGAATGAGATAATGATTCTATATAAACACTTATCTACTTATATTCCAGTTAGTGGTCTTTATTTTAGGTAAATAAAACTTATAAATTCATTTGTTTCATATTTAAATAAATTACTAAATTTTCTCAGGTAATAGCCAAATAAAAATTACAATTACATTCTAGTAGATATACATTATTTGAAATGAAATAAAATTTTTCTAACTAGTTTATCAACTTTTTCTTATAAAGTTCTTCAGTGATTTAAATGCCTATCTCTGCAGTGTGTAATGGCATGCTTCTACATAGTAAACTGATAGTGCTTTCAAAATGGCTATACAGTGAATGGGAGTGGCATTTATAACTGCATTGCTGACAGTAATAGGTAGTGTTAAAGCCTTTGTCTTTGTCAAACAGAACCAATCTTGTTAAATTAGAAATGAGGAGTGATCCTCTAAGATGTATGCCTATCACATCTAAGGCATATGCACACTAACCTCGCTTGTATTTCTCTGTCTTACGAGTTCTCCTAAACCATAAGCATTTCTCTTAAGAAACTATCCTGGAACTCCAGCAGTATCTCTCTCACTTCAGTTTACCTTCTGCTGGACTCTCAGCTTCTTGTGCTTCTAGGAGTTTGTGAGACAGGAAGCTCAAGGTGATTTTTAAATGGCAGCATCCAATATATTAATAAGATCATATATTGAAAAGCCAAGTTTTGAAAAGAAAAAAAGCAGTAGATTAATTCGGGCACAAATACAGTATAAATAATCTTTAATAGTCTTTGTTGTTAATTTAGCTATACATGAGAAACCATGATTAGGCAGAAGAGCTTTGGGACCTAATCCTGAATATATTCTGAACTATATCTGAATATATACTGGAGTATTCCAATGCATAGCAAAAGGAATTGTTTGACAAATATAGGTATTATCAATGACATGTATTTACAGAAATTTCAATTCACACTAAGTTTTCATATCTGTAGATTATGTTGTTGAAATCTGGTGAGGCTAGAGCCAGATACTCAAGTCCTCCCAACACAGGTCACTAAAAGCAATTTTTCCCCAGAATCCTCCAATCTCCAGTACCTAAAGTTTATCTCAAGTCCAGCTCCTTTGATGGAAACCTTTCTATTATACTGCTCTCACATACCTGTTGGTCTGTTTCTCTGAGATGCCTTCTTCACAAACATCAGAAATATTAAAAGGAAATCAAGCATATGCATATTTCCAAGTGCCAACAGCAAGTCAGGTGCCTTCCTCCACAATGTGTGCCATAAAGCCAAGAATTATTATTTCTTTTTCTTTTTGGAAGGGGCTTGGGGGAGATGAAAGGTGGTTATGTTGTATAACTCCTTAGCTGATCTTCACCCTGAGTTTATTTGCTCTACAAATATTATATGTTTGCTAATTTCAAAGTTCTTTCTGGCAGTGTGGTACATGCAGAAATGAATACATTTTCACATCCTTAAATAGTGTATCATTTCTCTATCGAGATAGATTTTTTATTAGCAGAGGAGAACACATCTTTGCTATTGTATATCCATTTTTTATTGAATGAAAAACTGAACAGTTATTCTCGCTGAGTTAGCAATGAAAACATTAGTACAATATTTAGTAAGTTTTATTCTATATATAATGTTGAATATGCTTGATACTGTTTAATGCTTTTAATATAATTATTCTTTCTTAAACTCCTTTTAGTACCCCATGTTTGCAGCATGCATTTTGGCATTTTATTCAATTTTATTCCATATCCATATTTCTGGATAATGAGCTTTTGGAAGTTAATATCTATGCTTCATGTCTCCTTAACTCAGTATCTAGTCCAATATGTAGCATGATATATATTTGCTGAGTGAATGATAATTAAATCATGGAAAGTCTTCTCCATAAGTTTATCCAGAGACCATTTGAAGTGTATCAGTCATGTCTTCTTTGTTTCCCCATGTTGATTCAGTGCTTTGTATGTGGTCGGTGCCACATATATTTAAGTTGTTAAATTGAAACTGTTGAATTGAAATACGGGAAATAGCAATGGGTTATTCATATAACCTGCTTAATGACAGTGTATCTAAAATAGACTGACTTAATGTTATAATTTTAAAAGTCCTTAAATTCACCAGAATACTTTCTGTCTTTCAAAGTTTACATAATTTCTCATTATCATTGCTGTCTTCTTAATTGATATTTCTCCTATTCTTTTTTATTGGTAAAAAGGAAACAACTAAATAACATGTATCTGCTTGCAGTATTTTAGGGAGATCTGTAAAGAAACAAAAACTGATGGCCTTTGAGAAAATCTTTTAAGAGAAATATTTTAGGGCAAGGGAACCTAGTATACCATTTGGTAAGGTGGAAG